GTGCTAACTAAACGGTTGACAGTTCAAATTCATCAGCATCTCTGTGGGAGAAAAGATCTGAGATCTGCCTGGGAAATCTTATGGGGGCAGTTCTATTCTGTCTTTGTAGGGTCACTGTGAGTGACAATCAACTCAACAGCATACAACAACTACTGTGGGGGATGTTGGTAAATGATCTAATTCTTGATCTGGTTTGATGGGTATGTTTACTACATGATAATTTATCAACCTGTACATTTAAGCTTTGTGTACTTGCCCATATGTCTGTATATTCAATCTTTTAAATATCCACAGGATATCCAAATTTTACAAATACACATCCACTCTTCACTTATCAACTTGGTTAGGGCTCAAAGACCATGTTGCTATGAGAAAATTGGTGTTATGCAAAAGTGGAAGAGGACCACATCAGATCACACAATGGCAGATGACTACATCATTTCACATTTGCCAAGTTACATTAGTCATAACTTCCGAAATTCATCATTACATAATTGCCAAATTACCTTGTTACATTACTGCCTAACTTCTGAAAATCGGGTCTAGCCAAGTTGACACATAACCCTTCTCATCATAGCCAGCATTCCTCTCACCTCTCACCTTTGCTTTCATTATTGCCAGATGTATATACATTGTCAATGCACACAACAGTTGGAGAGTAGCTATTTTTTACTATTGTGTGAAATGTTGATGAGATAGTAGATAATTGAGGAGTGTAGGAGGCTCAACTCTGGCAATATTAAATGGCAAGAGGAAGGCACGTGGGAGAATCTTGAGTGGAACAGGACAGAAATTTTGTCCAGTCCCTGCCTGAAATGTTTCTAGATACATTAGCCTTAATTCCCCATCCAACTCCTCACACCCCACTTACAAATCTGATCCTTTAATATGAGACACAATGTTTCCTTGTCTTTGTTGTTGTTGTTAGGTGCCATCAAGTCAGTACTGACTCATAAGGACCCTATGAACAACAAAACGAAATACTGCCTTGTCCTACACCAACCTCACAATCGTTGCTACACCTGAGCCCATTGCTGCCATCACTGTGCCAATCCATTTCATTAGGGGTCTTCCTTTTTTTTCTCCGACCCTCCACTTTACCAAACATGATACCCTTCTCCTGGTCTTTCTACTAGTTTCTCTTCAAGTAGAAAGACTCAATGTTTAAAGCCAATATTGGGATTCTATTAAGACACTGACATTCCCTCTACTGGGTCCTGTGCAGAGGGAAGTGTTGTTTGTATTTGTCATGCTCATCTTTGTCCAAAGGTATTACCTGCTCAGATTGCTCTGTGTGTTTCAGAAGGAGGAAGGGTGCAGTGTTCTCCCCTCTCCAGGTCCATCTCTGCTCCAAACTCCATCCAGAGTTCTGGAGTCATGATCGATTGTCCCCTAGCCACTTCCCTGGAGGAAAAGGGTAGGAAGGAATCACTGGTCACAGGTTCCACTGACCAGAGGTAAAGCCTGGGGTGGGTGTTCCTCTATGGCTGGAACCCAAAACATACTTACACAAAAACATCCCAGAGAGAACTGGTACTGAGTTTGAGTGGGGTGTGGGGTGTGAAGATACCCCAGGGAGGAAGTGGCAAAAAAAAAAAATCACAGGAACTCCCTTCTTTGATTCCACAAGGTGCGTCACGGAAAGTTGGATTTGGGTTAGCCCTGGATGGAGGCTTCTCTCCCCATACAGTCACCAGGATCAGTGGATCAAAGGAACCCAGGTTCCCCTCCACCCCTACCTCAGGTGATGCGAGTGGGACCCCAGCCAGGAGTCTGACCTCTTTTCCCTCCCGCCCGCACCACCCCTTTCAGGGCCGGGGCTTTATTAAGGCCGGTTCCGTTTGGACTGAGCCATTTGCTTAGAGGAATACGGAATCTGTCGGAAGTGAGCAGTGGCGAGCCAGCAGGAGAGCAGCTCAGTCCAAGAACAAGGTAAAGATGGTTCTTTCCAGGTACTGAGAGCGGGTTAGAGCCTAGGTACCTCAGCTTGAGCCCGCCGGGTTAGAGCTGGCCGGCTGGCTGGCTCCACAGCGACGTTTCTCGGTTTTCCCAAAGGCCAGAGGCTCAAAGGAAACACTCAGGATGCAAGAGAAGACGCGCACAGGCGCTCAAGCTTTTAAAAGCCTAGAGAAGCTCCCGGCACGAGGAGCAGGGAGGGAACACTGTGCAGTGAGCGCTGGGCCGCGGGACCTGGGGCCACCCGCCGATGGGCGCCGCGAGCTGGCTCCTAGTTCCGTCACTCTGCGTACAGCGTTTTCCCCGTGTCCGCCTCCGAGCCACAAAGCCAACGAAAGGGGATGGGCCGAAGCCGAGCCCGCCCTCTCCCTGGTCCCTGATTGGAAGCTGCTCTTGTCCATCCAGAATCTATTTTTGATGGGAGGGGGGTGCCACCCAGTCTGCCCCAAATCACGTTTGCCACCAGAGCCAACCAGTGGAGCCCAAGTCGGCGGGGAAGAAGCGATTGGGGGCGAGTGAGCTCAGCCCCGGAGTCCTCAGTCCGGGTACACCGTTCCCTGGCCCGAAGCCGTATATCCTGCCCTCCCCGGCCACCTCCCCCTCGTGGAAGCAGCGCGGCGGCCTCGCGGTAACGCTGAGGCGAAATGTAGCGAGCCGGGTGTCGCGGCTGGACGCTCGCCTTGGCCGGGGGTGTCGGGGGAGCACGCCTGGGGCCGAGGAGGACTGCTGATGAGGAGTGATGAGAAGAGGGGGTACCCTGCACCCCCCGAAACCACGGGTCCCTGCTGCCACTCGCCAGGCGCCCCCCTTCCTCCCAAGCGAGGCTCTGGTCAGTCCTGGGTCTGGGGTGGGGTGGGGGTGAGTGGCGGTGGGCGGGAGCCCTGGCGCGCCGCGCATTTGCTGAGTCTGAGTCTTGGAGAAAGGCGGGGGAGGCCACCCAGTTATTTCTCCTCCTTCCTGGGTTGGGGTATACTAAAACGGGACTATTCTGTCTGTGTCTGGAAGGAGGGGGTAGGGCGTTCTGGTTCACTTTTGCTTCTTTCATCTTAGTCTTATGCCTGTCTGAAGCCTTTACTGGAAGGAGTGGGGCGAGAGATTGGCTTCCCTTCCGGTCGAGCCCCCTTTTCAGGTTGAGTCATCTGCCAAGAAGACAGGGAGGAGGAAAGGAGAGATCGAAGTGTTAGAGGACCCAGAAACTTTTCTACCAAAGGGCAGAAGCTGCTGTCCTGCTGCCTGGATGCCTCGGGAGTCTTTGAAGGAGCCACAGTACTGTGTGTTTTAGAAACCGGTGCTGGCAGTTGACTGATAGAAAGACAAAACAATGCCAATTATGGGAGTTTGGTCCAACCTTTCCCAAAGTGGAGTTGACTAAGTGTGTGTGTTTAGAATACTTAAGGGCCTGTTCATCCTACCTGGGGAAATTCTTTTTTCTGCTTGTAAGAGCCATTTGGGTAAATAGGGTGGGACTCAGGCCCAGGATTCCTTCAAGCAAAATAAGTGGGCCATTCCATATGCACTTTGATTTTTGTGCTTTACTTTTGTTATTGTCGTTGTTTGGTTATTGTTCTGTTTTCTTTGAAGAGTTCCACTATATCCAACTCTTGTTGTTGTTAAGTGCCGTGGAGTCGGTTCCGACTCATAGCAACCCTTTGCAGGGTTTCTGAGGCTGTAAATCTTAACGGGAGCAGAAAGCCTCATCTTTTTCCCACGGAACAGCTGGTATCCAACTCTTGGTAACCTAATAATTGTGCTCTCTTTCCCTTCTAACTTCAATAACTCCCTCATCCTATCTGGCCAGATCACAGGGCCAGTAGCAGAGGGAAAGAAGAGAAAACAGAGGCCTGAATACGAGTCAGCATCTGAGCTTTTCGTAGCACTGTTGACTCTCAGGGACAGGAGTGGGTAGGCCTCTGGTTCTTGGCATTTGTCTGGCATGCCCCACTGCCCAGGGAGTGAGTCTTTCTGAGTTTTATCTTGGGATAGGGCATTTGAGCATCTGCGAGTCTTCTCTTTGTTGGCTTACTGTTGTTTATACCTTATGATATAAACAGCCACCCTCTATGGCAGATGGTTCATTGGCAGAAAATTTGTGACTGAATGTGCAATTGATGGCACTGGGAGACCACACTTAGAGGATCCTGGGTTCATAATGTGCATAAAGAAAGGATCTCTCTTGGGAATTTGCTGCCCATCCCCACTTGCTGAAAGGACAATGCCAAGGTCTCCTACACAGCAGCTTTCCTATGTGGAGCCTTTTCCTAACTATTGACTCTGGTGGTGATGGGCCCTATGGGTCAGTGGGTTATGGTTTGAAAGGATGGTGAAAAGAGCAACTGCTGGACCTCTGTATATGGTGGTGCAGGACACATGTTGCAGAGCAAGATAGGTAGTTTAATTGGAAAGATAGAGGCAAAAAAAGTAAAGATGCCTCTCAGAGAGGGAATTCTCCCAGTATACACAGTACTTTGCTGATTCATAACCTTTTCTTTACTTTTTTGCTTCTTCCCCCCCATAAGGTACTCCACCAAGGTTCCTGTGACTTTAAGGACCAGGGATTTGGGAAGATACAAGGTCTTCCCAGAAAGGAAGGAGATATCTGGAAGAGAGGAGACAGACAGCAGATTCTGTCCTGGAACCAGCAGAGCCTGAGGAGCTGTGGGAAGCCAAAGGACTTAAGCAAGAAGAGCAGGAAGGAGCCGCAGCTTTAAGCCAAGGCTGTGTTCTGAAAGACTGAACTCAAGCTACTGTTCATGAAAGAGGGACCACGTCAAAGGGTACCTCACACTTGACTGGGCTTTCCCAGCTCTGTTCTAAGGAGCCTGCTGCTGTGAACCAAAGAAGATAAGAGGCCAGATCACTTTCCCTTGAGCACAGTGCAGGCCGAGTGGAGTCAGGCATCTATCTGCACCCCTAGTGGCTGGCTGCTGAGTCTGTTGAGTTTCTTGCTTCCTTCCAGCTAGCAGCTTCAGTGCTTGATGGGGCTGCCTGTTGGTGGATCAGTTTTTGCAGTGCCTGGTGGGAGCAGAGAGCCGTGGGAAGAGGTCCCGCGGCACCCAAGCCTGGGCTCACCCCAAGACTAAGTTCTTTTCCAAATTAGAGAGGGAGAGAGAAAGGGACAAAAGAGAGGCGTGTGCCCCCTTCCCCTCCTCCCTACCCGTCATGTCCTCTAAGCCGGAACCAAAGGACATCCACCAGCTGAATGGGACTGGCCCCACTGCCTCACCCTGCTGTACAGATGACCCCGGACGAGAGCCTTTGGCCGGGACCTCGGAGTTCCTGGGTCCTGATGGGGCTGGGGTGGAGGTGGTGGTGATTGAGTCTCGGGCCAACGCCAAGGGGGTTCGGGAGGAGGACGCCCTGCTGGAGAACGGGAGCCAGAGCAACGAAAGTGACGACGTCAGCGCAGACCGTGGCCCTGCACCACCCTCCCCACTCAAGGAGACCTCGTTTTCCATCGGGCTGCAAGTGCTCTTTCCCTTCCTCCTGGCAGGCTTTGGGACTGTGGCTGCTGGCATGGTGTTGGACATTGTGCAGGTAGGACTCTGGGTCATACACCTTTTCCTACTGGGAAATGTTACCTCTCATAGCTTTCTCTCCATGTTAGAAGCAGCTGCTGCTTCCTAGAATACTCTTTCCCTTTGGATTATGGCTTTAGTTTCTTTTTGGTCTAGTTACTTTCTGCAGCATTCTCAAGGAAGCTGAGTAGCCCTGGGGAGGTGGTCAGTTTGGTATTGCTTAACAAAAGCAGAAGGGGGTTCCAGAGATCAGGCTTGGAAAAGTAGAGATGAAAGAGGCTGGTTGCTTGCCGACCCTCCTGGATATTCCTGCTGACCCCAGCCCAGTAGGAGACATTTAGACAGGTTCCCTTCTTAGGCTTTCTTTTCCCTTCACTTGGAGTTTCAGGGATGCCAGTAGTTAAAAGCTGAGTTTCAAGTCTCCCCTCCATCTCCCTGCTGGGCAGGAATTTGCTCTATTGCCAAGAGGGTCTCAAATGAAGTGGGAAGGCTCTTAAAGGCATTTTGTGTTGCTTATCTGGCTGTGACCTTAGCTTGATCTCCTTGGGAGGGGCGGGGAAGGTACATGCTGTCTGATCTATGATTTGGAGGTTTGGTGTGACAAGACCTAAAAGTGCTAATTATGTGATATACTTGGGGACAAAATGTAACCAGGCCTGGGAAGAACTGTTTCTCTTTGCTTATCACCGGTCTTTCATGAAACTATTCTAAGCAATGGGGCTCTTTGGGAGGCTCCTGTAGAATTATGGATAAGAATTGGCTGGACCTGGAAGCTGAGAAGCAGAGCACTTGCTCTTAGTGTATTGTGAGTTTGAACCCCAGGTCCAAGAGATCAAGTCATGTGTCCAGATAAGAGATTTTGAAGCACAGTAAGATACACAGAGCTTTCTGAAGGTGTGGGGTTTATCAGAGTTAATCAGTAGCTTGTTTCAAACTCCATCCAGGTACTGGGCTCTGTCCTAGGTACCCTGAGAAATACAGAGGCAGTTGGTGATCTGGCCTTTGCCGCTTCAGACTCCACAGTGTGTCCCTAACCATGTAGTGTCTTAGGAAAAGAGGTAGCTCAACATCACTTTCCCTGTATTGAGGTTACGAATCGGGCTGTGAACCTCAAGGTCAGCGGTTCGAAACTACCAGCCGCTCCGCGGGAGAAAGATAAGGCTTTCTACTCCCCTAAAGATTTACACCCTCGGAAACCCTGTTACAGGGTCGCTATGGGTCGGAACCGACTCAATGGCACTTAACAACAACAACATAGACAATACAGGTTATGATGTAGTGAGTCCTACTGGTGGGTCTCACTGTGCCCATATCCCAGGTGACTGGTGTGCCAGGTGATTCCTTCAACAGTATCCACCTGGACCACTTTGACTTGGACTTTCAGGAGAACTCTGTCCTTTGGTTACTAATGAGGATCATGTTTATGATGTGCCAAAGTACCTTATACTGCCTCCCCTCTCCTGTAAACTGTTTTCATAAGGCTTGTTTCTGCCTGAAGGTTAGGAAACCAGCCTGGAGCTAGGGAGATGGACTTTGAATTCCTCATCCCTCCTCTGTAGAGCAGTGAGTAAAGTACTCAGAGGAGGAGAAATGGGACTGAGGTGGCAGTTTCTCCATCTCTTCTAGACCTTTCCTATGACCTTGATTCACATTCTTACAATTTGTGAGTTGTAGTTTGGTGCCTACATAGGGGTACAGATAAGGAGCTCTGGTAGCGTAGTGGTTACGAATCGGGCTGCGAACCTTAAGGTCAGCGGTTCGAAACTACCAGCTGCTCCGCGGGAGAAAGATGAGGCTTTCTACTCCCGTAAAGATTTACACCCTCGGAAACCCTATACAGGGTCGCTATGGGTCGGAACCGACTAGATGGCACATAACAACAACAACAACAGGGGTACAGAACCAGGATCTAATGTGAACTAGGAGACTTATTTTCTGGATAATAATAATGGCACTAGGAAGTATTTGTTGGACTCTTTGGTGTGCCTGTGAGGTAGGAATCATAATCATCTCAACATTAGGTAACTGGTCCCTGGTCATCTGATTCTAGAACCCACTCCTGGAGCTTTCACCATGGCCATGACTCACCAGTTGGTTAGAGAATCTGGGATGAGCTGTTTTCTTGTCTTCCCCTGCAGAGCAGGGTAGACTGGAATCTAAAACAATTCAAGTCATTTTCTGACATGAGTAGGAACCAAAGTTCTTAGAGCAGGGGAACACAGAGACCCCACCCCAAACACTTAGATAAGTCTAGAGCTGGAAAAGCCTTCTCACATCTTGCTCCAAAGCTATCTAATGCCCTTGAGACATTGAGAGGCCTAAGGAGTGAGCTCTGGTAGCATAGTGGTTACGAATTGGGCTGCGAACCTTAAGGTCAGCAGTTCAAAACTACTAGTTCCACAGGAGAAAGAAGAGGCTTTCTGCTCCTGTAAAGATTTACAGCCTTGGAAGCCCTGTACAGGATTGCTATGAGTCGAAACCGACTCCACGGCACACCACCAACACCACCACCAAGAAGCGAATGCTGGAGCCTGCCCACTGTGTCCACAGACACCAACACTTGCATTCTATGTGGTACTTAGGATCACCTGAAAAGCTAGGGTTCAGTTAATATGGATGATAATAGCTGGGTTGTCTTTCCCCATCTCCCAGCCTACCTATTGCAGCTGACTACAATACTATCATGGGTAGGGGTAGGTGCAGAAGGGCCCAGACATGAGACCACAGGGAGGTTCCTATTCCACATCCAGGGTGGCAAAAGGAGTGATTCACAATCCTGAAGCCAGAAAGAGCAAGATCATTTCTAAGGCGTCACACCTGTATTTCTCATCAACAAACTAAGATGGCCCTCAGTGGGCCAGAGAGTCAGGGAGTGCCTAAGAAAATGGGGCCATCAGGAGCGAGTGTCCCCAGTGTCTCAGAGCAACTGATCAAGAACCCATGCTGGTTGTGGTTTTCGGTTCTCCTTGGTCTGGATTTGTCACCTCTCCCCTACTATTGCAGAAGATTCCTTTCATTCTGGAAGGCCTGTTTCTCTGTCCCCTTATCTACCCTCCTTTCCACTCAATAAGCATAGCCAACCATGACTGCAAGAAAAGGGCTGGCACACTGGACAAAAGTAAGAGAAGGATAAATGGACTGTTCTCCATTCTAAGTTCCCCAAGGTGGCCAAAAGTTCTTGTGGCACTGGGAGGGAAAGCAAGATTGGCCAACTGGTGGAACCGTTATTTGGTTGGGAGATAGGAGCCTCTCTGTGTCTTCCCAATTGTGCTAGGCTCCTGCAGAACATTTAGCTCCCTTTTTCTGCCAGCTTTTGGCAGGAGTGGGAATGGCAGGAGGTGGTGTGCAGACCTGGTGTGCAAATTCTCAGGGATGTTAAGAAAGATGGGACTCCTAAGTCCTTGTTTTAACTTGCTATTTACTGGCTAAGGATCCCAAGGAAAGCGGACCCTCCTTCCCCAAACTCTTGACTTCACTGTCTTGCCAAGTGAAGAACTCATGGCTGTGTGTGTGAGAGAGATGAAAGTTGGCAACACATGGGGGGATTGGGTCAGGGGAATAGGAAAGAAGCATTTCACTCACAGGTGGTCTGCTCTCCTCTCCTGGCTGCTGGTCTCCTTGGGCAGGATGTTCACAGGTGGTCTCACTTAACCACCCTGTCTGCTCCTCATGTCTCTGCCTGCTGCTTGCTGTCAGGAACCTGTTTGTTTTCTGTGATGGCTTTATATATTCAAGTATTGCCCTGAGGCCTTTCTCCTTGAACACCTAGAATACACTTGGTGTGGAACCTCAAACAGTGAAGGCTGGACTGACCCGAATACAATCTGACCCACTTCTTGTCCTGCAAGGCCATCTCTAGCTCAGCTTCCCAGACTCTCCATAGCTTGGTGCTTGCAGCTTATATCTGAACATTTCAGTCCTTTGGCCTTTTTTCCTAAATTTTATTTATTTGTTTTTACTGTTGAGAATATACACAGTGAAACATGCCAATTCTGCATGTACAGTTCAATGACAACAATTCCATGCTTTGAGTTGGGCAACCGTTCTCACCCTCCTTTCTTGAGTTGTTGCTCCCCCATTAACATAAACTCACTACCCCCTAAGGTTCCTGTCTAACCTCTTCAGTTGCTGTTGTCAATATGATCTCACATGGATAATTAATAAAAGAGCACAATGCTCAAGGCAGCCTTTTAAAACATTTTTTTTTAACTAGTTAACCTAAACTTTTATATTGTTCGACTGTAAGAGGATTCCAGGGTTTTTTGGTTTTGTTTTGTTTTGTTTTTGTTTTTTTTTGGTAAGTTTTTATTGTGAATTGAGTGATAGTTTACATGGGAGAACATCAGCTTTACATTCATCCTATCTTATTTCATTTCATTGCAATGATTACAATCCCCTCCATGCATCACCATTCAACAGCATTTGCTTCCATTCCCTCTGGTTTTGTCTTTTTTTGGAGAGGGGGCGATGTACACCGAAACACTCAGGAATATATAACCATTCAAACAATCAAAGGATACACACTGCAAGCCTGCCCCCCGGCCATCAGCACACAGCCCCTCTCTCTCCCTGAGACTAGAGTCCCTAGCTGCTCCATCTTTCCACATCATCATCTCTGCCTCCATCACTGGTGTTACTGCTTCTCTGGATAGGGTTCCGCACTCCACTCTTCTCCCTTGATGGTCCCAGGGTCCTCTGCTCCTGGACTGCAAGATCAACCACTCCCCTCCATTTGTTACAGAACGTCTACCTTTACATCTGCAATACTCACAGTCAGTCCTGATAGCAATTATTCACTGCTGAACCACAAGAGTCTTATCCCCATCTCCTTTCACCAGCCCCCTCCTGACAGGTTGGAAACCATTCAGCGGAGAGTCTACATTCCCCCATACCCTCTGGAACTAGGCTCCCTCTTGAAAGCTTGTAAGCCAGTTACTTCGTGCCTTTGTAGTCCCCACCCCCCCATTTTGGGTAGCCAATGTCTAAGTTGTTCAGGGGATATTTTTGATATGTTGATTC